ATAATAATAATAATAAATTACATGATTGGGGCCATAACATTTAGTATTGTAGTTGCACAATTTCCAATTTTCTTCCATACAAAACTTGTAATTTTGTTCTTCCTCACCCCCACCCCCTGGGAATTTTTGCTTTCCTCCATGGAGGGATGGATATTTTCTAGAACCAAAAATTGTTAAATTTTCTTACCATTCTCGAAGACCATCAAAACTTCAGGGCTCAACTCTAGGAGTTCCTGTAGAAAATATTTATCTTTAGATCAGAAAAACCACTATGTAGCAACCATCCTCTGTTTAGCAGCCACATGAGGGTGGCYATCTTATAAAAGTTTGACTGTAGTAGATTGTAATTCTAGTTTCTATAGCAGGATATTATTATTCATTTACCTTGGCAACATTAGTCATCTTTTGGCTTTCAGAAATCTTGAAAAAGGAGAAGATATTAGTAAGCCAATGTATCATGAATCAGGGCATGGCTAACTCACAGATWGAACCCTATAACAACCTCTGGGCTGATCTTAGTCAGGGCATGGCTAACTYACAGATAGAACCCTGAAACAACCTCAGGACTGATCTAAGTCAGGGCATGGCTAACTCACARATTGAACCCTGAAACAACCTCAGGACTGATCTAAGTCAGGGCATGGTTCAAATCCAAGAATTTTAAAAGAGGAGTGACTATGACAAAGGTTGTACCAGGAGTTTGAGGAAAAGGGGGTGACTAGTGACCCATTTAACCACCCCTGGATTCATCCCTGATGGCTAACACACAGATGGGATAGGAATTTAGCATGTTAGGGATTGTTTATTATTTTCTGGAAGGTATAATAAATGGGGGAGGGGGGAGGTTGATAAAAAAGCATTTTTTCACTAAACCCCCTGCCCCACGAAATAATAAGTCTGAGGTGCAACCCCCGATAMATAATAAGGAGCTAAAATAAACCCTGAAAAATAAGTGTGAGGAGCTAAAAATTAAATTAATTCCCCAAGCCCCCACCCATAAGGAATGTTGTGTTGCTTTTCCCTCGTCAGGCCATTGAAAGTCATTTTAATGTCAAATATACTACGTAATAAATGAATTTCCAAAGATCAGGGGAAGGTATTAATTCTGCAGCCTCTAATAAGCCGCCAGTCTAAAAGCTTAAAAGAGGATATACAGTATGTTAATGTTTCTATGTTGGAGGAATATCGCCAAACATTAAATCCAGGTGAAGCAAGCTATCTAAATACCTCATGTCCTTGCACCAATGTCTCCAACAGACTTGACACAATGCAACCAAATAAACAAACTAAAACCTAAAATACATAAATCGAAAACAAACCTGTCAGTGGTGGATTGAAGATTCTTAAGAGGAGGACGACTCTTAAAGAGTACCTAATGTCACACCAATACACACTGCAGGAAACAAATGATAAGAAGGTGTCTCAATTTGACAGAAATTCAATTTGAAAATAAAAGTATTTCAGGATTAATGCAGCTAGTCTCCCCCAGACAACCCCTGGATTCAGCTCTCACCATACATGTTACTATCAATAAAGGAGACATATAATGAATAAACTGATTTGACTGATTGATGCAAGCAAATATATGTGCAATATCTATTTATCATGACAAAACAATGGTAATAGTAGTGGCTGGGGGAACAGAAGTCTTTCCCACAAAAACACTCCACCTCAAAGTGGCAAAGCCATTTATCTTGCAGCTATAGACTCATGCATAAAAGTAGGCAAATATATTAAAAGTGGTCATAGTAATTGCCCTAACACTATCATGTCACATCAAAACAATCTATTGTTTTAACGCTAAGGATCATGGTCGCCAGAGGAGGCAAAATAGCAGCGAAACGAATTAAATCACAATAAAAAATGGTTAATTAGACGGGGAAAGGTGATAACAGATAAATGTTGTACTAAATATTCCAAATGAAAGAAAATTTTGCCTAAATTCCTATCATTCTTGCCCATGTAAACAAGCTGTGACGTCATAATGTTATAGGTCAATTGGTATTTTATCTGAAAACTGCCTCCAGTTGGCCCAATGGTTTGGGCAATGGACTATTGTGTGGAAGGTCTTTGGTTCAAGCCCCTGGGGGGTACTCCCCTATTTTCGCTATACGGGTACTTGCCGCCAAACAGGGTATAGTTTTCAGCCATTCTACTCTGGAACAGGGTATATAAAATCACGCTCACTCTGGGACAGGGTATATGAAATCACGCTCTTCTCTCTGGAACAGGGTATCTATTTTCGCACTACCAGAAAAGGGTATGGTTTTCAGTGATCTTGCTCTGGAACAGGGTATGAATTTCAGCGATTTTACTCTGGAACAGGGTCAGGGTTCAGAGGGCTCATCGGCACATTCCTACCCTAAACGGGCAAGAGTACCCACCAGGTCGGCCAGACCAACAATAAGGAACTTATAATATGCGAGTAGAAGAGCTGCCTTTGCTGCAAATGGTTAGCCCTTTGCCATGGCCAGGATGACCACATAAAATGGCAGTCCCATCTGTGCTAAATTGGGACTGTCATGTGTCACAAGCAAACAAAACAGAAGCACTATCTATGTAACATCC